CAACATCATCATCATCATCATCAACATCATCATCATCGTCATCATCATCATCAGCATCATCATCATCATGATCAGCATTACCATCATCAGCATCAGCATCAGCATCAGCATCAGCATCAGCATCACCCCCCTTCTCCTCATCATCGTCCTCCTCGTCCTCCTGGCGCGCACCGCGCCCGCTGGAATGGCTGGAGTTTGAAAAGATCACCGCCTTTGAAAGGCACATCGGGAGCGGATTTGGCAGAGAAAGCGGCATTGAAGAGCAGCAGACCAGCGACGGCAGGCTCGAAAGAAAAGCGGCATGGGGTGGGGAGCCGAGACCGCCACGAGAAACGAAGAGACCCAAGCAACGGGATGACCAAGGCAGGTCAAGTTGAACACAAGGGCAAAAACAACATGAATGAAGAAACGTGTCAGGGCCGCCGCAGCCGACCATGCATCCACAAGCCTGAGAATCACGGAATCTCATGGACGTAATCCAAGAACCTGAAACTGCCCTAAAGCAGCCACACTGAAACCAAACGGAAGATCCTCCTGGCATGTTCGAACAGCTGCCCAGCTGATATCCGAGATCTCTTCCCAACATTCATGGAACCAGGGGGCCAGGAGAGGAACAAAAGTCGAGGCCAGAAGGTCCGGTAAAAGCGAAACACACGAAACTTCGGAAATCAGTATCTGGATCGTCGGCCGGGGCCGTCTGGGCTCAAGATCTCCCCTGGGGATGAGGGTTCAGTGCCTCATTCGCGATCTCACAAGCAGATCGACCAACATCGGCGAGCCGATCGTTGTCTTGGAATCCGTGGGAAGCCTGGCGCGGCTTCCTAACAAGAGGAGGTGCATCCCACCACCTGGGAGAGAGAGAAAGAGAGAGACGACCCTCGCCGACCTCCTACTAACATCAAGTGGCCCTGGGGCACACAACAAAGTAGACACAACTCCCAGGATTCCCCGTACCTCCCATGTTTTCTGGGCTTTCGTCTTCCCTCCCCCCCACTTCCAATATTTTCCACGTTTTCCTGGGAATCGACGATTCATTATGTATGTGTATTCTTTCCCCTCCTGATAACCCAGAGATCCTATGCCGTGATTTTTTCACTACGCGGTCCCCAGAAGTCTCCACGCACTCCCCAGGACTGGTATTTTTCATCCTGAGTCGTTTTGTTGATGGTCCCGGGGCCCGGCGAGAGCCCCTCGAGGCCGAAATGTGCGAAAACCATCAGTCATGATATTTGTTCAATACGCTGGATATCTGGGAATATATATATATATATATATATATATATTATCTACATACACATATATATATGTGTGTATATGTATGTATATATGTATGTACGTATGCGTTCATGAGTTGATGTATGTATGTATGTATGGATTCAATTGTTTATTTAATCCGTTACTTTGGTATGTCTATTTTTACTTGTGTATGTATGGATTGATTTGTTTATGGATTCATACATGCATTTATGGAGTATACATGTATGAAATCATGCAGATAGCCATTGTTGTATATATCTATTCATATATATATATATATATATATATATATGTGCGGCGGCGGCGAGGCGGCGGCGCACCGCGGTTCTCTCCAGGCGCGGCGGGCCGCCCTCGGGGCGCTGCGCCGGGGCGGGCGCGGCCTGGCGCGGCGGGGGTGGGCGCGTCCGCGGGCGGCGAGGAGGTCGCGCGCGCCGCGGGGGGGGGCTCGCCACGGCGGCGAGCCGCCACGGCGGCGAGCCGCCACAGCGGCGCAGGACGACGGCGCGAAGCCGAGCGGCCTCTGCACGAGCGGCCCGACGCGCCCCCACGCCGCCCACCACCGTTCGGGCGTTGCCAGAGGCGCCCCTGGCCCAAAGCGCCCCCAGGATTGGGTCGGGCACGTCCTCCTCCAGGGGGATTTTGGACGAAAACTAAAGAATAGCCCAGAAATGCTCAAAAGTGGTAAAAAAAAATACTGGAAAAAATCGTCCCCTGACTTCTTTTTGACTATTTGGGAATATTCCTCCTGTAGGGGACACGCCCGACTTGATGCTAGAGGTGCCCCTGGCCCAAGGTGCCCCCAGAATTCCCAAGGAGGCCCCCACGGCCTCCAGAGCGCCCCCCTCGCGAGGCCCCGAGGGCCCCATGGGGGCTCCGAACTCGAGCGAAAGGCCTGGGGCACCTCGGACCAGGGGCACCTGCATAGCAGCCCCCGAGGCCCGTGGAAAAGGGCCGCCGCGCTGGCCCCGGCTGCGGCGCGAGAGGCGCGGGGGTCCTCGCGCCCCGCGAGGAGCGACCCGGGAGGTCGGCGGGGACGAGTGCTGGCGCGAGCTCTCCTCCTCTGCCTCTTTCTCCTCCTCCTCCTCCTCCCCCTCCTCCTCCTCCTCCTCCTCCTCCTCCTCCTCCTCCTCCTCCTCCTCCTCCTCCTCCTCCTCCTCCTCCTCCTCCTCAGGCCTGGCCTGCCCCTGGGGCGAACGCGGCCCTGGGGACGAGGCCAACGCTCCCGGGGCTTCCTCACGAGCGGCGAGCATATCCGTATCCGCGCCCTCGCGGTCCGGCGCGATCCCGCGGATGCACGGTTACCGGGAGACGTTCCGCGCGCCAGCACCCCGCATCCGCAGGGCCGCGGCCGAGGGGCCCGGCCCGCGAGGCCGCGGATGCGTGCTTCGCGCATCGTCTGAAGGGCAGCTAGGCTCCTAGGCGTTGGGAAGACTCTTCCTACGACAACTCGGGGCGACCGTTGAGACCGGGCGATAAGGCCGCTGCAGTAGCAGCGCAATAGCTGCAGCGGAGCTTTCGAGGCTCAAGAAACCCCCTCCTCCAACATCACACGACGACCATCACAATCGGGGGAAACAACAACAGCAACAACAGCAACAACAGCAGCAGCAAAAAACAGCAGCAGCAACAACAACAACCATTCTAAGACTGTTCGCTCTTACTTGCCCCGCGTGTCACTCAAAACGAGTTCCCCGCAACCTCGATACCCGCCCTTTTTGTCTTCGATCACACCCCCTTTGGGGGGATTCTTTCTCTTTGCGGGGGGCGGCGGGCTTAGACAGGCGGGCAAACCTGAACGGGCGGACAATCCTTCGTGGGCGTACACGAGCCCACCATTGGAATTAGTGCGGGCCTTGCAAAAAGAGGAGGGGGAGAATGAGGGAGAGCGAGAGGAAGGAAGGGGGAGGGACGAAGGAGGAAGGGAGGGGGAGGGGGAGGAGAAACGCCAGGAGACAAGGAGCGAAGAGGGGGGCGGTTGATTAAAGGCAGAGAGAGAGAGAAAGACGGATAAGAGAGGTAGAGAAAGAGAGAGAGAGAGGGGAGAGAGAGAGAGAGAAAGAAAGAAAGAAAGAGGGAGGAGGCAGGAGAGGGGAGGGAGAAGGGAGGAGGGAGAGGAGGGAGAGGGGATAGGGCAGAGAGGCATAAGGATAAGCTAAGAGAGGAGGGAGAGAGAAGGGAGGAGAGGAGGGAGGAGGGAGGAGGAAGAGGGAGGAGGAGCAGGAAGGTAAGAGCGTGAACGTTCGAGGAAGTCCTGGGCGAAAGCGCCGTTCCTGAAGGAAGTCTCGGGCTGGAGCCCACGACGGGCGGGCGATCCCCTGACGGGCGGGTCGGGCGGGTGGGACATTCAAGCGGGATGCCTGAGTGTGGCGAGAGCGCGATTACTAAGTTAATTGTAACGGCGTCTTGGCGCAGCGTGTTTCCTGAGCGTCGACAGCGCGATTTCTGAATAAATTGCATGCAAGTCACAGGCGAGAGCGCAAGTCCTGAATAACATGTGAAGGGTTCTCTGGCGGGAGCGGGGGCCTTGATTAATTTGCGAGGACGTCTTGATTCCATTGCGAAGAAGTCTCAAGCGGGAGCGCCGTTCCTGAGTAAATTGTGAGGAAGTCTCAGATGGGAGCGGGGGTCCTGCCTCAATTGCGAGCACGTCACACGCGGGAGCACCGATCCTGAGTAAATTGTGAGGAAGTCTCAAGAGCGGGGGTCCTGAGTAAATTTGGAGAAACTCTAAGGCGGGAGCCGTTGTTGTTGAAATCCGGAGGGCCAGGGGCCCAGTTTGAGCACTAAGACTTCCCCTGTCATAAAACAGGGTGCGAGCGTCGAGGGGCACACTTTGGTTGAGAAAAAACAGTATGCACTGGTGAGGGGGGATCAACAACAATTATTCTTCAGAAATGAAAGTTCAACAACAACAACAACAACAACCACAACCACAACAGCAACAACAACAACAACCACAACAACAACAACAACAAAAACAAAAACAACAAACACAAAAACGACAACGACCACAACAACGACGACGACAAGAACAGCAACAACAACAACAACAACAACAACAACAACAACAACAACAACAAAAACAACAATAACAACAGCAGCAGCAACAGCAACAACAAGAACAACAACAACCACAACACCCACAAGGACGACGACGACAACGACAACAGACAACAACCACAACCACAACCACAGAAACAACAACAAAAGCACTAGCAGTATCACCACCAGCAACAGCAGCAATAACAACACCAACAACAAACAGAAAAACAACAACAACAACAACAACAACAACAACAACAACAACAACAACAACAACAACAGCACCAACAACAACATCAACAACAGCAACAACAACAATAGCAACAACAACATAAAAACAACACCTGACCGAACTGATCTGGATCTTTAGCTCGAGCTGCCTGAGCAAATAGTAGCTGAACCAGAGCTCATTGACAGTGGGACATGCCAAGAGAACGCTCCGCGGAACGTCCCAAGGGACGCGTCAGGCGACGTGCCAGGGGACGTGCCATGGGGACGCACCGCGGGACGTGCCAAGGGGACGCGCTACGGAACGTGCTGGGGACAAGCGTTTCGCTCAAGACATCCTGCCCAAATCCTCATGCTAGACATCCGCCTGGGCGACCTGGACACGTGAAAACAACATTTCGCTCGAGACGTTTTCAACACATCCTCATACTAGACATCTTCCTGGGCGACCTGGACACATGAAAACAAGCGTCTCGCTCGAGACATCCTCAACAAATCCTCATGCCAGACATCTGCCTGGGCAACCTGAACGCGTGAAAGCAGACGTCTCGCTCGAAACATCCTCAACAAATCCTCATGCCAGACATCTGCCTGGGCAACCAGGACGCGTGAAACCAAGCGTCTCGCTCGAAACATCCTCAACACGTCTTCATGTTAGACATCCGCCTGGGCGACCTGCACATGTGAAAACAAGCGTTTCGCCCGAGACGTTTTCAACACATCCTCATGCTAGACATCCGCCTGGGCAACCTGGACACGCGCAAGCAGACGTCTCGCTCGAGACTTCCTCAACACATCCTCATGCTTGACATCCACGTGGGCGACCTGGACGCGTGAAAGCAAGCGTTTCGGTCGAGACATCCTCAACACATCTTCATGCTAGACATCTTCCTGGGCAGCCCGAACGCGTGACACCAAGCGTCTAGGGCGAGACATCCTCAAAATCTGGGCATGTGAAACAAGCATTTCACCTGAGACTTTGAATTCTAGTCCCCAGGAGAAGAACCATCTGTAACACGAAACAAGCGTTTCGCCCGAGACATCCTCAAAAATAATTCCGCTGGCCCTCTTCTGACCTCGTTATTTACCGCAGATAATTCCGCCGGCCCTCTTCCCGTCGAGTCCGGGGGTAAACAACTGAAAGAGAACCCTGGGCCCGGAGCCCTTTCCGGGAAAACTGTAAATCCAAGCGAAGCGTGCAGCGGTGAGAAAACCGAGGAGACAACTCAACTCGAGGTAAACTGAAGCGCGAGCAGTCTGGTGCGAATTGGCGGCCACTGGTAGACACGCACACACACACACACACACACACACACACACACACACACGCACGCACACGCACGCACGAACGCACGCACGCACACACACACACACACACACACACACATACATACACACACACGTCCGTAGCCACTTTGGCCTCAGGTGAACCTTGTGGATACCGCTGGTCCGCGGCTTGCCACATGGTGTCGTTGTGTCCCTTCTTGCCTGCCACTGCAGGTTCCGTGGTCCCCAGCAAAAGCTCACGAGTGCAAGGCACTCAGGGGTGGAGCTCAGCTGCTGCAGCAGCAGTGGGGCCCAAGGCATCTGACAAGGCAAGGGATGCGGCGATGGCTGGACTGCAGTCGGGAAGCTACGCTGATTCTGCAACTTCTGCACGGGCCCGGAAGGTAATCAGTGGTGGAACCACGGTGAAGCCCTGGCGCGCAACTGCCCGCTCGCCATGGGGGGACGCGGACTTACCGAATCCGTCGCCTTCCTGCGCAAGGTCGAGCCCACCATCCCGTCCTACAGCAAGGCCCGTGGAGGAGACAGAGCGGGCGGTGGAGGTGGCGACAGAGCCAGTCCCCGGTCGACAGCGGCGCTCCTCGAGAAGGTGGCGCAGCTCGGCAAGACGCTCGCAGCGAAAGCACGTCGGCCAAGAACAAGCTGGAGAAGCGTGCCCACCAGGTCGGCCGCCCTGTCGCGAAGCTCCTGGGACGGAGGGCGTCGGCAGCCACAGCCCGTGGATCGGATGCCAGCGACTACGGTGGCAACCAGGCCGCGAGGCGCAGGGATCGCATCGGCGAGCTCGATGCCACCCTGGGTGCCCTGGCCAAGCTGCCGCAGGAGCCCA